AGTCTGTACCTCCAGGCTAATCTTGAGGATTAAGGAGCTATAAGTGGCAGCTCACTTGCTCTGTGTGACTGCCACTTTAGTGTCAGACAGACTTTGTGTATCTGAACACTGGAACACAGCATGAGTAACGACTTGCAGCTAATTTTACTCTTCTTAGAGGTGATGCTGAAAAGGGTTTCATTTTGCGTTGAATTTGTGTTCGGTCTGAGCGAAAATTACAACGTCTAACAAAAGCCTAATGTTGGTCTTTGGGGTTGATGACTAATGTGTTTTAGCACGCATGAGCAGATTGTTGGCAACCTAACAGGAAGGGCCTGTATGCCGAATAGAAATATCTGAAAAGATCTGAAGATTAAATGCAGAAATGTAAAGTAATTACCTCAAAACACCTGTGCTGAGAGTTAATGGCATGTTTCACCACAGGGCATGGAATTTAAATGTCTTAATATTTTTGCCCTAGTTTGCATTCCCCCCATGCCTCAGGATGGGGAAATAAAGCATATGTTACTTCCTCTGTCAGACGGGGTCTTGGGGATATCTTCTTCATATCGCCGCCATGGAAGGTTTCATTTGCATAACTCTGACGCCTCACCTAAGACAATCTCCTTTGATTGGTTTTGCTGTTGTGGAGCAGGCAGGTGGATGAGGAGAGGGGAAAAGACTTGCTGATCAAGCTGGCACACTATCAGAAGGAGTGTTGCTAGGTGACAGTGTTGAAGGAAGTGAAGTGGAGCACTTTGTGTGTCTTAGGAATCAGTACACGTGCCACATTTTATTTGGCTTGGCAGCTAGAAAGAACAACTTTAGAAGTTGAGATGTTTTTGTAAAGTGATAGAGTCGTATGGTAGCAGAGTGGTTACCTGTTATCTTGTTGTGAGGGAGAAAACTCATTTCCAAGCACTGCAGCCATCTCCCTTACATCCCAAAAAAGGAAATAATAAAGGAATCTATTTCCTGCATTGTCTGCCTTCAAAGGCCAATTTGTAAGGCGTTTGACATGGATTGTGATTGTATAATCCAAATTTGTATAATCATCTTTATGCCTTCTGTATATGAGAAATACTATGATGCATTGTAAAAATCATTCGACTGTTATGAATTGTAAAGATGGATACTAGTCATTAAAAGTGATAGTTTCCAGTGGAACTAAGTAAGACATGTCTGGCTTTTCAATCGGGATCAGCCAATGACTACCACTGAACCCTGAGCTCATTTCCCCAGGAATGGTGTTGTCTGTGCTACCTGATTCTCTCATAGAGAGACTGCCACTATTCAGGATCCACTGCAACAGTTTAATTTGGCTCAGTTGAAAGCTTATACTTTTGACTACAACTGAGACTCATTTTCTGATCAAGTTACAATAGAAAACTATGAAAGTGAGTCAGAAATGACCACCACCTTGAAACTTCTATCATTATACTGTATTATGTAGACACTCATGGGCCATGTATTTTAAGATGTTCAAAAATTCCACTTTTTACTTGGGGGTTAGAACTACTGAGCCCACCTTTTCAGGTCGACACCTTTTCTCTAAATAATCCTTATTTTATCTGAGGGTGAAATGATCCTAATGCAAATGTATAAAGATTCTCACCCATTTAATCATAGCTTGTGATTGTTCACAATGTAAATCATCACTGAACCATCCCAGGAAATGACCAGGTTACAGTAATCAGAAGGGTAAATCTTTTTTTCTGAGCAAACATGAAAGCTACAAGTAGTAACAATAAGTTGTAATAATGTAATTACCGAAATGTTGATTATATTTTCTAATAAAAGCAGACATGTCTATGCTGCTTCCTGCAGGATACTGAAACTCATTCACTAATAAACAGGGAGCCGTGCACCAATTTTGTTTGTTGATACCTCCCTTATGACTCGTTTCCCACAAAAGTTATGAGAAGTAGGCGTTTCAGTTTTTGGAAAAGGGAAGACAGGTGTATATTACAAGCTATTGAACCAAAGTTTAGCCAACTGTTGGCTTGTGTCGTAAATTTATTTTAAAAAATGAAAAAAGAAGAAGTTAATTCACACAATGCCATTTCTGCTTTTGATATTCTAAAACAAAAATCAATTATCTTATTAGACCTAATTTATTTACTCTCATCGCCATTGTGTCTATGAGTGGTTGGTCCCACCTGTGTATTTTCCTGAACAAGAATGTTTAGGCCAAAACAAGATATTTACCGTTGAATGAACATACAAGCTTTCTTTTTAATTTTTTGCTAAGCCATGCTTGTGTTTCTTTCTGAAGAAAATTGTGACAAACATAGCCATTGTTAGTGTTTCTCCCCCAGCTGTCTTTTTTCAACCTGCAAAAAATGGCACTCATCATTCAGTTTGAGGATTTTGTCAGTTTTTTCTTCCATACTTAATTTGTCAATGAACAAAAAGCTCACAGGCAGTAATGCAGACTTGATTTTTGCACCACGTTGTGAGCCAGGTATGTCCCTGGCTTGTGTGACTGCCAGGTGTGCAGCTGGAGAATTTGCTGTTGTGTGAAAGTGACTCCACTGACTGGACCGTCAGATCAAACGCTCCATCTGTCCCTCTCAGCAGGTTTGGCAAGTAATCTTGTCTGATCGCAAAATACATCAATTGGTCATCTGTATGCAAAGACTGGGAGCTCAGTCATGACCATGCGATGCATTCAGGGAACTCTACCATCTGATTTCTGACGACTTTTTTGGGTTAAAAATAATATGACTAGTTTCAGAAAGCTTCATTTGAAATACTGGCAAGATGAAGTTGGTTGTATTCACTTTCTGCACAGCTTGAATATTGGATCCAGTGTCAGAAAGAATAATCACATAGACATACGTTGATATAACAAATCTAATACATTGGCCATCCTGAAAATCCTGTTAAGCTGGTATTACATTAACTGTTTCAGGCACATGATGCCAAAAGTAAACACTTCCTGTCTTACTCTCCTACAGCAGTTACACAATCCAAGATTAATCTACTATAATATTTACCGAGAGCATTAAATGGAACTGGCTGGTGTGAGTCGTGTTGTAGCGTATTGTTTTAGTGTAAGGAGCCGACACATCCAGGACTCATTTCTGTCAACTTGGAAAATCAGTGTTTTCAGTATTTTGTCCAATTTACAGATGAGGTGACAGATGACAGCCACATGGTTTTGCACCTTGTAAATCCAGTTTCAATAGTTCACCTCACTGTTGTTTCAGAGGAAACTCGGTAGGCTTATATTTAAGCCTACATTTGGTAACGTTCTCAGAGTCGATAAGCCCCTCACATGAAATGACCTGGCACTAGAGGGCACTGCATCAAACAGCAGCTCTCTAACCCTCTTACCAGTTTAGAAGGCAATATAAAGAGAGTTGCATTTCTGAGCCAGAGCAGCTTTACATGGAAATCTCAACACCAGCCATGATGTTCATCATGGAAACAAATCTACACAGTGTGAACATATAAAATAATAATAATAATAAGGGTTGTTCTGCAAATTATATGAAATAAAAGATACAATGTGGAGCACATAGAGTTGTTTTATTTAAAATCAAACAGAACAAAAAATGTTTTGTGAAAATTTCCGTTGTTGAGAAATTGTATTAGAGTTTTTCTACACATCTTGAAAAGTTTTAAACGTTACACAAGCTCCACCTCAGTGAGATTTTACGTATTCTGAGGATGGATAGTAAATTAGCCAATACAATCTCCTTACCCTGTTCTATAAAGATGTTCATAAGGGCTGTGTAGTAATTTCTGTTATTTGAATATTATATCTGAATTGAAATTATGCATAAGGTTCTCTGGCTTTCCAGTCACTAAACAGAAAAAAAACTATCACAAATCCTTGATTTTTTAGCATTAGTAAGTCAGTAAATCTCTTTAAATTCCCAATAAGTTACAACTGTCTTTTCTGATCTGTGGTCTCTGTTGAGTGGTTTTACATCAGCGTCAAAAGTCCAGAATGTTGTTCAGCTCATTCAATAGTAAGCTTTAAATGGTAAAGTTTCACAGTAGGGACATTCTCAGACAAGGTGTCAGGTATTGTGTTCTGCACTTTATGAAAGGGTCTAAAAATAACTTTGAGCAGGTGGCTAAAGCCTGAGCAGCCCATCTGCTCCTTAACCCCCAGAAATACAAATGAATGCTAGTGTCTGACTGCATGAGCATGCATGCACACACACAGACTCTTCATGCTTCTTAGTATTAAGTGTAAATCTATGTATCTTTAAAATACATCATTAAGACCCTTCAACACTTATGCAACATAGATTCTTAAAATTAGCCGCCCTTAGCATAACCCTAAATAGATAATATGTATGTGTGTGTGTGTGTGTGTGTGTGTGTGCGCTTTCAGACCAGTCGATCCATGTGATGGTGAAACATGATAAGCCTCTTAGGTCTAATCCTGCCCCATTGGGTAGTCTCACACACTTCGACTCACAAATAAAAGTACACGCACGTACACAGTGCCAACAGGCAAATAGGACCATTATTCACGAGAAATGCATCAAGAAGAGTTAGTTGCCGATGCTGAATCAAAGTCAACATGGAGATCCAAAGTAAAGATTTGGGTCTTTAAACACATGCTAAAAAGTACATTGTATGGGGGGAAATGTAACTAACTGCATTTGTGAAAATACAATGTATACTTTATGACGAACTTCATCAATTATCAACTGAAAACAAACGAGGGAAATTGCAATATTCAATAACCCGGCACTCGGCATTGAACAAACGAAAACCTGGAGGATATTTACTGAAAGAGGTGATATCAAGTAAGGATCAGGTGCAGCAATTTGTAACAGAAACCCAATGTGAACAGGAGGTAAAACTAACAGAATACACATGAGGGCAAACAGTAAGCAGGGCTAACCAAGATATCAAAAGACAAGCAAAAATGTCCAGATCATTAGATATACTGACAGGAAAAGTGGGTAGCCCTGCTCATCTGGTTGCATGAGCTACTGGCTTTGATACCACAAACAGATCATAAATTGACTGCTGATGGTGGTGTATCTTTTTAGATTACCTCTGCTCCCCAGAAGAAAATGTCCACATGATCGACTTCACCAGATTTAAGATCCGCGACATGGAGACGGGGACAGTCCTGTTTGAGATCACCAAACCTCCAGCACCAGGTCAGACCCAGACTACAAGAAACTAGATGAAAACCTGGTCTTGTAATCATGGATTTATTCTTTGTTTTTGTTGTTTTTTTGTTAAGAGAGAAAAAAAAGTGACATGCAGTAAGACATTTTTATCTACCTCTTCTTTAGCAGCAGGTCTAAAGCAGTGTGACCCCAACGCTGGCCGTTTTGTCCGGTACCAATTCACCCCAGCCTTCCTCCAGTTACGACAGGTTGGAGCCACGTAAGTGAACATGTTGTGTGTGTCTATTAGTTCCTGACAACTAAATGAAAAAGAAAAGCAATGTGTGTTCAACCCTGCTGCTGTATTAGAACACATTTACATCAATGTTCACATTTATGCACTCAGCAGATGTTTTTTTTCCAAACAAATTTATCAGGATGCAAAGGAAGATAAAGATCAAGCACATTTATAAACCAATTGAAAATAAACACTTATCGAGAGTGTGCTAAAGGTAGATATTCAGGTTGGGTAACTAATACAAAAGCAAAGATTTTAAGAGTGTCAGAGGAGGGATCCCTGCTTTAGTAGCACTTGTTAGATTATTCCACCACTAGAGAACCGTGAATTGGAAAAGTCTGAAGTGCTGGACTTGTGGGGCTGGCAGTGCTGGACAATGCTCCTTGGAGTATGGAAGGAACCGAGGGTTAACCCAGGTCTGTATGAGAGTTGAGAGGTAGCAGGATACCCAGAGATCGCTTTGTTGGCTATCATCAGTTGGCTGGTTTGTCTCAATGAACAGAGGGGTGGTTTGCCATGTCAGGCACCGACTGCTCTTTCTCATGTTGAATAGCAGCATGACTGGGCAACAGAGGCCTTATGCCCAGAAAAAGTGAGCCGGTCATCGGTCATGTCGTCCAAGTTCCCAGCAGCCTGAGGAGGGTCCAGTCACATGGAAGCGATTTGGACAAAGATGTTGGGCTTTACAGTTTGTTTGGCTGGGGAAGAGCAGCTGCTCAGTTTAAGAGAAATTGAGTTGGAGGGGGATGCGCTCTCATCCACGTGGATATGTCATTGAGACAGTCTGAGAGTCACATGGTGGAGTCCTCTGGCGGAGACGACAGGGTGTAGGAGGTGAGTGGGCCTCATTGTGGGACAATCGGGTGATGATAAGCGTGAACACACAGAGCAGTCCAGCCCACCTGATGACTCATGAACCAAATCATTGTCAGAGCTCCTGAGCTGTGTTCAGCATCAGACTCCTACCTTTACACTGACGGAGGTTTCTGATACAACTAAGGAAATGACTTGTGAAGATCGTCTCGGGGAAATGACAACAACCCTGTACACACAGGAGTAATTCATAAAGCTAATTCTATGTATTGACGGCATGTAGCACCAGATTAATGTGGGGTGTTTTTTTTATCCCGTATCAAAAAAATTGCATGAGGTAACACAGGGTCATAGCACTTTGTGAAATAGTGGCATTATATTTAAAAGGTCAGATCTTGAGGGAGATTTAGTTAGATATGTTTTTTTTTTATTCATTGCTTTGCCACCCATTTGCAACATGATGTAAAGTATGGAAGTTGGATTCTTGTTGTTTATGGATACAGCATTTCAGGATGGAGCAAAGACATTTCTTCATTCAGTCACTATACACGATTAGGCTGCCGTTAGGCAAACATATTTGCATGATTTAGCAGAAATTTGCAATGATCTCACGCTGTTCCAGAAAAATTCATTTATTTCAGGTGAGAATGGCAAACATGCTCATCTGTAATAGTAAAATTGTACTCCTGTAAGGATTGAAAATGGATTGAAAGCTATTAAGTAAGAATGTGTTTTGACAAGAAATCAATGATTACTTGTAAAATGATTATCCACTTTTAGGTCTGATGAAGTAGCTGCACTTTTCACTTGCATGAACTGCTCAATACTTTAGTCACAGTGTTTAAGAAAACCCTGGACAGAAATAAAAAATATTATCTTAATATTATCTTATCCATTCGGTTGTCTGCAGAATGTCTTTGGTTTCATACTTTTGAGCCACAGTGTCTAATGTTTGGCTGATGATGATCAGCATTTAAATTCTGTTTTCCCACATAGTGTGTTGACCAATAAGTAAAATTTCACTACCCAGAAAATAGTGTCCTTTGTGAACATTTGCCCTGGAGGAAGTATTTGAATCTGTTTAATCACAAAAATAGACCGTGTACGAGGTTAGGTAATCTGGATTAGCTGTTAGATAGGATTGTTTTTCTCACTTCACTGCATTTTGCTGCAATGACTTTGCCTCATTTTCCCTTACACGAGTGGCTGATTTGATAAGCGCATTTTTAGAAAAGTCATTACAGCCAAAACCACTGGAGTCAAGCTTGAAATTAACCAGAATTGATCTGTAAATTTATTGTACCTTCTGCAGTTTGAGTTTTCGCCAATTTACATATTCAATTTATGCTTTTGTCTCTGCAGGGTGGAGTTCACAGTGGGAGACACCCCCATCAATAACTTCCGTATGATTGAGAGACATTACTTCCGGGACCAGCTGCTGAAAAGCTTCGACTTCGAGTTTGGGTTCTGCATGCCCAGCAGCAAGAACACATGCGAGCACATTTATGAGTTCCCTGCTCTGTCAGAGGATATCAGTGAGTATCAAACACGGGCACGTACCCAAGTCCAATGTATTCATACCCATGAGGGACACATGCCCCCGGGTAGATTTAATGTTACCTCCTCCTGACTGTGGCCTCTTTTCTCCCTCAGTGCGTGAGATGATCCAGCACCCTTATGAGACACAGTCTGACAGTTTCTACTTTGTGGACAACAAGCTGGTGATGCACAACAAGGCAGATTATTCCTATTGTGGCGGACCATAGGAAGACCTCTGCCTGATTCTTAACATTTTCCAAGACACCCCTTACAGGACCAGAAACACGTGAACTGATGGACAAATCACTGGCATTAGATTCTCTCGTCTCCCTCCTGTTAGCTCCAAGCATTTCCATTCAGGTTTCCAGCCACCTGGCCCGTCATATTCCTCCCCTTGCATCTTTTTGCAGGAACAGTCAATTCTGCCACTTTTATCATCAGTTTGAATCAGTGTGCGTGAGTGAGAATGTGGGCAGCAAGCACATGCAGTGTCTGTACATGCAGTCGATATCAGTCTGTATATGTGGGTTCCACTTGATATCAGGTGATCATTTTGTCTCTTTTTTTGTTTTGTTTTGTTTAAAATGAAGAAAAGAAGGAGTCTTAATAGACCTCACTAATCTGGGCAAGGCAGAAAAATGCTATGAGACAATGACGGGGGGCACAAAAGGTACAGGTTTTAATCTACTCAGATTTACAGAATATAGTTTCTACTGGTATCTCATTGCATTTATACTACTGAGGTTTCTAAATTTTGTAGTAGCACACCCATCTGAAAGATTTTTCCTCTGTCTGTGTTCAGTCATCATCCAGCTGAATGACAGTGATGTGTACTTTGTCTTTGTGAATGTGTCATTTGTTTCATGTTTTCATGTTCCTAGTACTACTTCATCAGGAGTATTTTTTTTTTTAAATAGACATTTTGAGGTGTCAGAAATCATACATTAGTCAAAAGTCAGATACCAGTTTTGATATCCGGTACATTCTCTGTAGTTCTGAAAACAATGTGTACTTTGACTCTGATAAGTGTTTTAACTATAAAATGAAAAAGTATGTAAAGTTTTAACGGCTGAAATTCCATCACTGCAATAAATATGGGATTTTTGCGAAACCTTGATATACATTTATTTACACTTAATACAAAAAGTCCTGTTAACATGAGTGAAAGGAGACATAATTAAGGTATACTGCTAATGGTGTTGCTTTCTTTCATTCTAATATCATTATCATTACTGTATATTTGTAAAGACTCACATTATGATTTTGACCTGGGTGTTACTAAACTGCCCTTAGCGGTCTGACCATAAGGTAGTAAACAACCAAAACTCAATGACAGCAGGTGATAAAAGTCATGAAAGAAACAGCTAATGAACAAATATGCCACAAATGTCATATCAGAGTCTTTGCTGCCATCTCCTGCAATGTCACTCTTACTGCATTAATGCTGTGGTAGCACATGTCATCGGATGTTAGCCAATAACAGCTCTTTTGTTCAGATCCAAATAGATCTAATTGAGAAATATGACTTGTGTTATCCAGAGAAACTGGATGTCTGTATTATTGAAACCACCTCAACAAGTTATCGATACTTTGGAGTCATGTTCTAGAGTACCTGGTGAGTTTCGTCCCGGTATCAACCTTCTCTGAGCTCAGATTTTATGTGTTCATTTCAAATATTGACACGAGAATACTGATTTTAGCCACTTTCACTCCTGTGTTTTCTGACTTTACTGGAGTTGAACCTGCTTTGCCAAGATATGTTACAGCAAATGACTTAATATGCCTGACAAAATAAGCCAATTTACATTCTCAGTGACTTAAAACAACAAGCTGACTGAACCGCACAACACAGTTTGTTAAAGGTAAATAAAAAATGTTTCCCTGTTTATTTTCATCTACAACGTCATAAAATCTCAGTTTATCAAAAGAAATAGCAAAGTTTCGTAGACAAAAAGAATAAAGATGAGAAAGAAATATCTTTTTCAATCAAAAACACGCTCAACGCTGATGTCCATGTCCTTTAGTCTTTCACGCAGTTATGAACAAAGGATCTGTTCAGGATCTGTTCATAACTCCGGACGGAGAACCCAGAGGTTTACATTTAGGATGCAGATGTGGTGTAGGAGGTCAGGTAGCCTGCCATACAGTCTACTTCCGGATAAGCTACAGGATACAGTCCGCTCAAACAGCTTTTGTTGACGTTCTCGTCCTCGTGTGCTGCCTTACAGCATCCGCTAACGGACCCTGCCGAGATGCTGCTGAAAGCAGCCGGGACGTGGAGGCAGCTGGACGCCAGGTCGTGGTTCTGCAGGAAAAAAGAAGCAGAGGAGGTTGTGGTCGAAACGTGCGGTTCGGACACCAGGCTGTCCTCTCTTAACTGCTCCCACAGGTTACCTGAAAAAGGAAATGGAAGTCTGGGGTCATCATTTGGAGAGCACCACATATTTACAACAATTTGCTTTCCACCAACAAAAATATTTCTTCAATCTCCCACATAATTCGTTTGCAATTCACTCACTTTGCAGCTGCAGGTCAGTCAGAGTGGGGTTGAGCGTGTCGATGTCATAACTCGTGTCTCCGTCCAGCAGCATGTCCCTCATGCCCCTCGGGTCAGCGCTGTACTCAGTCTGCAGGGCAGCACAGTGGACCGGTGGCATCTTCCCGGCCAGTGGCGAGTCCAGACTTCCTGTGGCTGCTTTGATCCCGGAAGGAGACTGCTGTCCAGGGGAGTACGGACCAAATGAGTGGGCGGGGCGAGGCGCCGCGGGGGGAAGGTAGTAGGGCAGCTGAGGCTGGACGTGGGTGTGGTGTGAACACCGAGTGGGGTGACACACCGCTTGAAGTTGGGTGGGAGCACAAGCAGCGCTGTAGGTTGGGTTCACTCTGGATGACGAAGTGTATGGCGGCAAAGATCTTAGTTTTTCTGGCTTCTCTCCCAACAGGTGGTCAAAGTCTTCTATGAAAACAGTGTTCCAATGTGATATTAAAGAAAGTACAGTTTACAATAGAATAATATGTAGGTTAAAACCTTTAACAACGTCGGTCATTTTAATCTTCGTAAAGTAGAGTTCTGACCCTCAGTCAGTAAACATCATGTTTTGGTAATATTTGGGCTGTTTTGCAGACCCACCTGGCCTCGCCATGCTCCTGCGAACTGTCAGAGGGTCTTTGCGGCGCCACTTATGCAGCTCCTCCTGCATCTTCTCCACCTTGGCTGGATTCAGAGCCCAAAGACAGCCTTTGCGAGAAGTGCTCCCATTTTTGTTCTCAACTTTCTCAAAACATTTGTTGAGGGAAAGATTGTGTCGGACAGAGTTCTTCCATCCATCGGGAGCTGTCTGAAAGCCAGGAGGGAGAAAAAAAAGGATGTAAGAGATATGAGAAAGAAACTGCTTGGACCTAAAAAAACTATTCTCTTTAAAAGAAAGTCATTAAATGACTTGCTTTGACAGCAGATAAGATTAAAGCCCAAACTGAACTACATATAAGACTAAGGAAAAATCTTGAAAAGAACGGTACGTTGTGTACAATACAGAGACATCTAGTGGCACAAATTCAAAATTAGGCCCAAATCAATATCCCCCCAAAAAACAAACAATGTAGACAGAGAATCATAGTTAGTCAATTCAATTCAATTCAGTTAATCAAATGTAATTTCCTTCTATCAGGAAAATGCTCACATTAGCATGCTTACAATCGTACACCATGTGACATATTTTTTTAAATCAAGAGATAGACCTGACTTTTGCACTTGAAATGTGCTGTGTGGTTAATCCATGAAGAGAAGCTGAACCATCACTCCCCAGAAATCCTAATCCTAGGAATATCTAGTATGGTGATGGCATCTTTCTTTCACTGAACATGAACCTGTCAAAATCTGAAAATCGTCCAGGGTGACCAGTAAGGGTAGAGTCATGATCATTTTAGAAGCAAAGCTTGAAAGGAAAGTAAAATCATGACATCTCTGCTATGGCCTATTATGTGGGACATCAAAGTATACAGTCAAATATACGTATGTAGCTTAATCAATGTACTATTTCCTTTAGGAGATGTACGTAATACACTTGTATACATTTATATAATGATTGATAGAGGGTCCGCTTTTGTTTTTTTTCCTAAGTTTTCTGTGTTGAAACTGACACAAAAAATATTTTAATATCCAAAAATATGCTACTTCGCATGTCCTTGACATGAAAACATTGCCAGGAGATATCTGCCACTTCATGGTTTGCACCCTGACAATCAGAATAGATTTTTCAAAGGATTCCTTGTATCTAGAAATCAGAGAAGTTGAGACTCAGCTCTAGAAAGAGCTGAAACATTCTGTTACATACAGATCAGCTGTAGTCTACTGACTAAGCAGATGTATGTTTATCCAGGCTACATTATAGTCGGATGTTTTCTAAACAGCTGCCTGCAACCCGAAACATAGGCTGCAAGGTCAGAAAGACTTCAGAATAAGTTCAACTCAGTAGGCACTTGTCATGGCATGCAGACATATTTCACTGCCAAAGCAGATGTTTCCAAAAATTAATATATGTTGTAAAGTTCCCTCTGGGGAAAACTGTGTTCACATTGCTATGTGGTATTTTTATGTTTGGTTTTGCTCCACTTCTTGGTCTATTTTTAATTTCCTATCAAACATCGTCCTTTTTTTAAATTACATCATCATTTGCAGTTTGCTCTTCAATGTATAGCTTAAGTTTTTTTTTTTGTTTGTTTGCTTTTTGTTTTTTGTGCTCAGGTTAAAATGATTGGCATTGATACAATACTTTTTTTTCAGTGGATGATGCACTAAAACTTTGTAAAGTTAATGATATGGACAGTTATGTGGATAAGAGGTAATTTAATGGGCATATTAAGATCGGTTAGTGTTGTAATACCTTAAAATATGGAAAGTGTTCAGTCATGAAGCTGTAGATCTCACTGACAGGCAGACTCCCTGTTTTGCTGTTCCTTAGAGCCATGAAAATCAAGATGCTGTGGAGATGAAGAAGATTTTTCCCTTAAGCATTTTATTCACATCTATATAAGTAATACACCCATCATTAAGGTAACTTGGTGGTATACAGTGGAATTGCCTTATTTTTCTTATTGTTCCAGCAAAAAAAAAACATTAAATAGACAGTCAAGTGCTGGTGTTGTATGCAGCATTACCTGTATGAGTAAATGGGCTTAGGAAAGAGGAGTTGTGTGCTGTTTTCTTGGTGGGATTGTGTGGAGACACTCTGGAGAGAATGTTTAGAGCTGTTAGACCGGTCATCTTTAAGGTACAATTTAAATAAGACCTGCAGAGCTTATAAACCGACACATACATGGTAAAATAACAAAATTGGCTTCAGGACAGGCCTCTCATGAACCATCCATCCATCAATTTTCTATAGTGCTTATTCCCATTGGGGTCGCGGAGGGGCAGGAGCCTATCCCGGCTAACAACAGGCGAACCCTCTCTTGAACCAGTACATACAGTACTTAAGTTGTGAAGTACTCTAATCAACATGGAAAACCAAGAAGACAATACTAAAAATGTTTACATCCTTCTTCTATGGTTCTGCGGACATACCAACTGACCTGCTGCCGAGGGCTCATGGAGTTGAATGCCGGAAAATTCTGAGACAGAAAGCTTGAGGTCTCTATGGTTACAGCTGGAAGCTCTGAGAATGAACCCTGCCAAAGAGAGAACACTTTTAAAAGATTGCTTAAAGGACAATTACGCCATAACACAGCACAGCTCCTACGGGCAATGTTGCTGACCCTTTGAAACACATTCTGCCATGTTGGTCAATGCTTGAAACGAGCTGTTACAGTATGTGAAGGTATGCCCGTTGTGTATAGTATAATGGTCATTAGCACTTCGTTCCCTCTTTTTTCTACCTTTTTCATAACCTTTTAAGTTACTTGTTACTACTTAATAAGTCAATAGATCTAAAATCTACTAACTTGATTGCTGCCATTGCGTTGCTCCCAGGTTGTGTCAGGGATGGACACTTTTTCCAGACTGTTAAAGGACGAGGAGCACTGTTGGACACAGCCCGAGGCGCCCACTGCTCCATCACTGACCTGTCGATGGTATGGGTGGAAACGGTCAGCTTGACCTCGTTCTGGTGGTCCTGCTCCTGAACTGCTGGTCCCATCAGCACTGTGTCTCCTGCTCGGAACTACAGTCCTGAAACTGGAAGTGATGCCATCCTTCTGTGGGAAGCAGAGATCCCTGTCTTCTATAGTCTGGGGTGTGACAGTGTGGAAGATTCTTAACTTTTATTGTTACTTTCAGCCCAAAAGTAAATAACACATGGTACACATGGAGGAGGTTATCTGAGTTAAAGGAGAAATGCCCCTGGCAACGTCTTACCTGATACTCTGCCATCTGCTGGCAGAATGTTCCAGGGGGCTCACAGGTGTGAAGACCAACCTGGGGGGTTGATGTTTGAAATTTGTTGCTACTGAGGTACACTTCTGCTAAGAGAGCAGTAAAATCTGCCACTGCAAATAGATAAAAAATATATAAAAATCAGACTGAATTTGAAAGAAAGGGCCTCATAATTTGAAGAGAAATTGCTGAAAGGAGCTTTAAATACAAGTCAGACAAAGCTACCCCTTGCAGTTCAGATAAAATGTATGCAGAGCTCTGAGATCTTCAGGTAACAGTCAGAAAATAGAACCTCGAGATGGAGTGAAAATGCATTTAGCTGCTATGCTGCATGTACATGAAATAAACCTCCTCTTGATTACAAAATTTCCAAATTCTAACTCAGGACACATTCAAACTCTGCTGCTTTTCTGTGCCTTTCTTTAGTTGAATTTTACTCCATTGTTTTTACTTTACTTTCCATTTAGTACATTTTCTAAAGCTTAAAGTTTAAATAGTTTTTACAATTGTGTAATTGATTTATTTCATCTTAAAACCTTTGTAAAGACCTTTAAGTTGCTGTTGTGTGATCTAAACCAATCCCCTTGCCTTGCATTAAAAAATATTATTTCAGTAAAGTATTTCAAACGGACGTTAATATTTAATTTGATTCTAAAACTGGTGAATTCTCCTGTTTCCTAGCAAAGCTAATGTGCTGTTAGATGCTAGATGAAAGACAGGCATTTAAGAGTGTGATCTCCTTAAATAATTCTGAACTGAGAGCAAACACTCAAAATTAAAAAAAACCTTTCCGATTACGTAGGAAGACCAAAAAAGTGATTGGTAAATGAAATGACTTTTGCCACATAACAGGAAGTAATTCTGTCAGGTTTTAAAAAAGCCCTTGTGTTCAATGATCCTTTGAGATCAAATCTCCAGAGTCAATATACTCTGCACTGCATCATCTAACATGAGCGGCGACATGAAAGCAGTGGGGTTCATTTTCAGTGCAAGTGCATTAAACTGTTGATGTGAAAGTTTTAGGGAGGGGTTCCTCAGACCGAGTGTGAAGAAATGCTATGTGATCCCAGAGGAACTGAGAGACACGTGGCCCTTCCAGTAAAGGTAATCTGCAACCCTGACATAAACCAAGCTCATTAAAACTGCCAACAAACCATGAGAGCTGTTAGGTCACGTAAAGCTGAAGAACGCTGAGGCAGACGATACGGAGACACAGATACACAGATACTTCTGCTTGTCATGTGAAAGGAGACAGAAGTAGCAATCAAAGCTCTTTTTGTCCAATTCAAAGGAGGCTTAAGTGTCAGAGTGAAAGATGACAGTTCTTTAATTTGTTTTATTTGGCATTTTTAAAATACTTTTTTGTGCTTATTATCAGCACCATAGCAACTAAACCCATACTATGCTTGGCAGCCACAATGCCATTAATCAGAGCTAAGCAACATTGAATGGTTTTCAAGAATTTTAACCAGTTAAAAAAATAAATGGATACTGACCAGCATTCACAGTTGACCCTCTTGCCAACGTACTTAAGTTATGTTAATCGCTTCTCTCCATCATGAGCCATAACTTTTTTTAAAAACTACCTTTGAACAACTACTTGGGCATGAACGGTGGCCTTAAGTATGTGACATATGTATAAACACATTTTTCCAAAAAAATCGCTGATTCTAAGGGAAAACTGACAGACCCTTCATCAAAGATTTAAGATTACCTTTACGTTAGTGTTATCACATTTAAATGGAATTTCAAGACTTATTGTAAAAATACACTGTTTTCACGTTCTCACTTTTAAAACATGAATTCAACTTTTCTTTTTTAGCAAAATTATGAGGGAAGTAAGTGAATTTTCCTTTATCTGACGCTGATCAACTTCTACATCATAATTGCATATGATGATATGATACACATGTTGCATACACACACACACGATACGTCGGAGAGAAAGCCAAAGTATTTTGTTTGAGCATTCATTCATTTGCCACAATTTAGTGCTTCTGGTTGATTCTCAATCTTTCAAACACTGGTATGTCAGATTTCAAATATCTTTTGATTTAATATGTTGAACAGAGTCAATATGAATTCGAGCCAAATATGTAACATAAAAGAGCTGGCACTCCACGCTTCTCTGTATGGTTTGGCTTAGTCTGGTGAAGAACGGTTGGCTTTTTGTTTTGGTGGCAGTGTAGAATCGGCAGTTGAATAAACCTCCCCAATCCGAGGTCAAACAGAGGGTATGAATGAAAAAATATCTTACTGCATGACGTGCGGTATATTTAAAACATTTTCAATAGGATCTTGAGCCTGATTGTAGATGTCCATTAAGAAACACTGAGTTCAGCACAAGTATCGGAGGTACTCACTCGGTTTGGGCATACTTAGACATCTATCACACCCCCTTGACTATGGCAGATGGCATATAACATTCAAAAGATCAATGCTTTTTTAAGTTTAACTACCACCTGTTTTGAAAGATGTCATCTGTTTACAAGCGCCCAACAAGATGATTCAATGCTCAGCTGAGAGGCTGAGAGGCTAAGAGCCAGTTTATCTGATCGACATAGTTACCTGTATATTTTGACACAAACTAGGTCACCTCTCAAAGTTAAAAAAATTAAAATAATATTTTTTTTAAAAACAGACAAGGGTTCGAGGAAACGGCAAATGTCAAAGGGCATTGCAAGTCAAAAATGGCCATAAACCTCAGCCATACTCTCTTTCTCCTGTAAAAATGACAAACTCACAAACTCACCTAAGCTTTGGATTCAAAAGCTGCCCTGTGTTTGTTGTCCCCGACAGATTTCCTCAGTCAAACCTGCTGCGTGTGCTGATCCCAGCCCTCTGTGCACCTCCAGCCACTTTCACCCTGAATGAGGCATTTCGATTAAATTGCCTGTCTAAATGTGTATGAAAATAGTGGATGGGTTGGTTTCAGATTTTGGCAGCTCAGAATATCATCTTCGATTTCTGTGTGTGTACAAATGTGGTAGTGTGTGTTTCTGGCACTTGTCCAGACTAGCTCGGTGATAAGATATACAGAAAGAAAACCTGTTCCAACAGGTTCCCAAAGATTTGCTGGTGTAGTCATCAGCAGCTGGCAGTGCTTTTTTTCTTCGTCCATCAGTCTTTCTTATCCTCACTGAATGGTTACTTGTCTGAATGAGACATAAGATACACCAGAAGTCACAGCCATTGGCACTAAGCGGGCGCCATGCTCTGCTTTCTGAGCTTCCCTATGGCAAAGGCCGACTTAAATGGGATCCAGTTTCACTTCACTATAAAGTATTTAAACAACTGGGCTGAGGTAAACACAAGCAAGAATAATGTGGAAAAAACTATGAGGCTGCAAGTATTAAAATATACACCAGATGCAGCTAAACTAAATATGAAAGCGTTTGGAAATTGTGACGAATAGATGCAGCCAGTCGGGAAATTTCAGTGTCTTGTGCAACACAAAGTTTACTTCATGTATAAGTGGAATACCCATTGATGAGGCTGTTGTGGTCAGCAGGTTGTACAGTAGTATACATTTATAGATGCGCCACACCAAGCAGCTCATGACTCACAGGTCTCTTTAGGTGAGATTGAAAAATAGAAAGAAAAGCGAAAGGGAGTTTGTGCAGGTAGATTTCTATCATTTCCCCTCAGTGAACTAGGAACTGCAGCCGATTTTGCTCACAGCTATATCACAGACAAAACTTGTCCTCATTGAAAAGGTGAGGCAGAATGACGAAGAGAAAGAGGATTAATTACAGATTGAATATACTCATGTGTTACAGAAGACCTCTGCAGAGCAAGCTGAAGGCTCTTTTTCTGCAAAAGGAGGGTGTGATATAGCAAAAGATGAGGTTTCTAAAGTGGAATTCTCATTGTCTGTGCTCCGGTGGGGTGCACCCTGAACCGGTTGCCAGTCCATCTCAGGGCCAAACAGAGAAAAACAACCACTCACTCTCACTCCTAGGAGCAATTTAGAATGTCCAATTAACCTGCATGATTTTGGAGGGGCGGAGGAAACCAGAGTACCTGGAAAAAAGCCAAACAGGCACAGGTAGAACATGCAAATTCCACCTACAAATTTGTTCCGTGTTGTGTCGACCGGTTGCAAAACACTTCAACCTAAAACGTCCTATGAATCGTGAGAGTTACTGAGAGGTAACGTTGGCTCATGTGACGGAGTGGGTGTGCTTCATTTTCAGCTATATGCAAATCAGTCCTGTGTCACCTGAGAGGAATGCTTTCCAAAATGCTCTGTCAAAATAGAGCTTTCAAAGCATGGCACTGCCTCAATGCTGACTATCAATCATGATGCACCACATTACTGAGAGTTTGATGAGATGTAGTTTGGGTGTTGTTTCAAGGCATTGCAATACACATTGATCGCTTGAAAAGTTCAGTGAGACAACTGGACGTCCAGCTACCTGACTGAATTTTTAAAGCTTGACCATGACCTCGATGATGGAGAATCTTCACAAACAATACACATTGGTGCGCTTCTTTCTATCTCTATATACAGTTTTCGCTCTAAGGAAATATAGTGAAGTCATTGAGTACTAAAGCCCGGAAATGGTGTATTTTTTAATTCGCAGGGGCTAACACCTAATGGAAATGCAAAAACAGTAGACTTAAGCTGAGCTGAGTCATGCTAAATAGGCATATTGGAAAATGCCCACTTGTGAAGCATTGTGCTTCACACGTGGGCCTTCACACTTCTCGCCACAACCAAAGTATTATGCTGCGCTGAACCTCTAAGTCCATAATGTCAGCATGATGCCGTTGTTTGTTGAAAACCTTATCCCGCACCGTGTATTATCCTGCGTACATTGTTAGTCAACTACGCAAATTGCATACACGGATCATTTTTCCTGTGTAAGATGTAATTATCTAACATAAACTCTGTTAGCATTTACTGATTTGACAGGTATTCGATCAAGAAGCATACTATTGTCTTAGTCTTGGCCACCCTTTAGCTCCCCCTTGAAAAAAAGTCTAACTCCAGA